GACTAATATTACATCCATAAGAGAGGCTCATAAACGTGGAATTTCTCTCCAGATACAGAGAAATTAGCTATTTTCCAGATACACTTATTACCCTAAGAAATTGAAGTATTGAAAGCATTCTTAATTGAAGCAATCAGTAAAAGGTGAGAGCCCAAAAGTTGATATATTATAGTTCAAATATTTTATTTCAATTTTAGTGAAATCATTCACCACCTTTGGCTCATGATTGGAGTTCTGTGTTGGCTTTCTTGGGTAAACCATTCCCAGATTTCCAGTTTCCATTTCTTTTTTCATTTGTTCGTTTTAGAATGAACATGTGTATAATTTTTATTGAACTCATGTGAGATCCAGGCACACGTACATTATATGGAGGCATATTGGTTTCACCACAGGGGAGGCCCGTTGTCAATGGAACCTCTGCTGGAAGGGCTGGAATTTGCAAGTCTACAGATAAGAGTGGTTTGATATTGCTACCAGCTGCTTATGATGTACAGAGCTGTAAAATCTTTAGAAGGAAATGCTAATCCTATGAAGCAGATAGCTGGGAAGTGTGTGTTGTATACAGACAATGCATTGAGTGATGGTAACTGAGTCACCCAAATGCAAAATTTTCTTTGCAGACATAATTCTTTCCTTCATTCAACAAACACCTACAGAGGTCAGAGCAGGGAGGCAGGGGCTACCACCTTAGGAAGGTGTCTTAGTGCAGGAGGAAAAGGCTGCCTCTGACTTCTGGGAGAGGACCTTAAGCAGAGCCAGTTTTGGGGGCAGGCGCGTGCTGGGTCCACCACTACATCCTGTTCAATCTTCCTCCGGATTTCGGCCACTAGGTCCCCGAGAGATATCTTCCTGAGCTCTTGCTGCTGCACAATCCCCGCCTTCTTGGGGTTGACAGATAACAGCTCCCTTTCTCGGGCTATTTCCGGTTCTACCCTGAGGCTGCCGCTGCCCTCTCGCTCTTGGCAAGCCTCAGCGCCTGGAACTCGCGCTGCCCTGCGCCATGAACAGGCATCCTTCTGCTTCAATTCTTAAAAGCATTTATAACTTCAAGTCACTTGTGGAAACACCTGACAGCAAAATCCTTCAAGATTTTTTATTATAGTTTTCCATTTACAGTTGTCTATTCCATACCTAAGTAGTAATAATAGCTTGTTTGTTGATGTTGCTTTTTTTAGCTTTATAGTCTTTTTTGATTGAGATAAAATTCACTATTTTAATTATCTTAAAGGGTGCAATTCAGTGGTTTTTAGAATATTCACAATGCTGTAAAGCCATTACCCCTATCTACTTTTGGAACATAGCCATCACCCCAAAAAGAATGCCACTTGTACCTACTATCAGTCACTCTCAGTTCTCCCGGGTGCCCATCCCCTGACCACCACTAATCTACTGTTTGTCTCTATGGATTTGCCGATTGTGGACATTTCATATAAATGGAATCATACCATATGTGGCTTTTTGTGCCTTCCTTCCTTCACTTAGCATGATGCTGTCATGGTTTCTCTATGTTGTAGCATGTGTTGATGTTGTTTTTTTAACATGGCTTACTTTCAGGAGCCTATCTGGCAATTAACTTAGTTTTCACAGAAGCAGCATCCTATGTTTGCCATTCACATGACATGAATTTATGCAGTATTTAACTAAATTACAATAGCAAGTAATACTGGAATGAACAGGACTATGACCAGGCAGCACCATCAGTGTGCACCTGAACTGATAAAAAAGCAAAGTACACCATTTCACTATGATGATAGTTATTTGCCACCGCGGTCTGTGCTCTGAGCAAAAACCAGTGTGTGTTTCAGAGGAAAAGAAAAGGGTTGGTTAACCCAATGAGTTGTTTTAGTGTTGGTTGGTACTGCATTACCCAGGACAAAAGGGTACGCGAGTACAGGGTATAGAGGTAAGTTTCTGTTATATAATCCAACACAGCTTCATCTGGTGCCCACAGGGAAGTCTTCTATGCATCTTCAAAAAGAAGCAAAGATGTGTTCCCATAAAGAGAGTACCCTTCTGCCTCGGTAGAAACTTTACCATACTCCCCATCTTTCCAGGAGCAGCTCAGGAGTGTCCTCTAGACAGTCTTCCCTAAGCCTTGACTCCTCACAGTGCCCATTCGTTCTCTCTTATTTTTAATTGCCAACATACTTATCTATCTCACGGTGGTTATAACTGGTAGTACAGCTAGTCACAAAACGTCTTTTCTTCCATACCAGGGTGCTAGCTGATTGAGAGGGAGATTCTGTTTCCTAATATCCCCACAACCACCAGCACAGGAAAAGAGGTGCTCACAGCACAACCTTTTTTTTTTTTAACATTTTATTTATTTTTAGAGAGGGGGAGGGAGAGAGAAAGAAAGGGAAACATCAATGTGTGGTTGCCTCTTGAGTGTCCCCTACTGGGGACCTGGCCCACAACCCAGGCATGTGCACTGACTGGAACTGAACCAGCAACCCTTTGGTTTGTAGTCTGGCGCTTAATCCACTGAGCCACACCAGCCAGGGCTCACAGCACAATCTTTACACAAATCTTTATCTTCAGTAAATGTTCAATAAACATTTACTGTGTAAATAATGAATGAGCACATTAGTTAAGTAATTAATTAATGATGTAGAACTTCCTACCTGGCTACAGCAACTTGCTCCATTCATCAATGTGCAACAAAAGAAGGGGGTGAGGATCCAAAAGAGTAAAGTGGTGGGCAAAGGAAGAAAATCAATCACTGTGGGTGCCTGGCAGCCATCAGAAATCATGACTCTCCTCCAAGGGTTTAACAGAGATCACTTTCAAATAAGATAACAATTCCTGGTGCCTTTTGATGTGGAACAAATTAGAAACAGACAGAGACAGTCATTGTACTTAAAGTCTTGCCCTGGCTGGTGTGGCTCAGTGGATTGAGTGGCAGCCTGCAAACCAAAGGGTCACCAGTTCGATTCCCACCCAGGGCACATGCCTGGGGTGTAGGCCAGGTCCCCAGTTGGGGGCCTCCAGTTGTATTTCTCACACATCCATGTTTCTCTCCCTCTCTTTCTTTCTCCCTCCCTTCCCATTTCTCTAAAAATAAATAAATAAAGCCTTTAAAAAAATCTCCCTATGTCTTCAAGTGTGGATTTGTTTTTTTTCTCAATTAAATTATTATACCACTTTCATGAGTGAGTTTTTAGATATACTAGAAAGGTACTCATAAGAACACAGCTTCCAAATAGGCAATTTAAAAAGCAAAGCAATTGGTTAGGTAAGGAATGCATAAACAGTCCCACAATCTGCACTAAATACTTTTTTTTGGCTGTATACTACTGAAAAACAGCCAAGTTCATTTTGATAAGCCTTTGTTAAAAATAATAAACATGCCTGAGCTTGCAAACCGTGCCTTTCCAAAGAAAAAGCAATTGAGAAAATTAGAAAATGCTTAAAACTGCAAAGTGTGATTAAAAGGAAAAACTTCTGTGGTAACAGATTTACCAGTAAGTTAAAACTTATAGTGGAGGGGAAGGGAGAACAAAATGTAAAGTGAGACAAAGTAAAAACAGAACACCACCCTCCTTAATAGGTAAGAAGTTACATCTCACAAGATAATGCAATTATAGACTATAGCACTAACATGGGCCACTAACACTACTGAGAAAACTCATTCTCCCATGCTTCATTAAGTTTAATGTCACCACGGTGATGTCCCTGCACTAAAGGAAATGTAATTTCAGGGACTCTGAATGAAGGAATATACATAAAATAACCAAGTGGGGGAAATTGTATTCTTGTACAGTAGAATGTCAGTTCATCAAAGTCAACGTAACTTCATCTGAATTTGCTTCTTTGTTTATCTTCAGTGATTATAAATAAAATCAGCAGAATCACTGGATGAGAAGGAAGATAATCTGCAACATTTATGTTTATCTCCCTACTTTGGGCAAATTCTGAAATTCTCTTCTTTCTGCCTAACAAAATCCTGGAAAAACTGTAGTGGATGAACTGTAATTGGAGCTCCACAGAATCAAAGTTCTTTGTTTTGATTGCTGACATATCCCAAATGTCCAGAACAGCACCAGGCACATAGAAGGCACTAGGTATCTGTTCACTTGAGCTAAAATGAAAAAACATGCAAAATGTACAACACAATGCTAGAATGCTAAATAAGCTTGTTTAAAATCCCTTTCTCAGCTGTGTTATGGGTCATAGTGTTAATCACAACACGCAAATGGCCTTCATACAAACCACTTTTCTACAGTCCGTTCCAGAGTCCAACCACAACTTTAACTAGTCATCACCATAGGGAGCTAAGGATCAGACCAAGGAGAGAATGGGGTAAATTTAGTGCACCTGTTTTGATTGCTCTTCTTTTTCTGGAAAGTTCACCTGAGATGTATGAGCACATTCATCTTCATGTAAGAAGAATGTAAATATTATTTAAAATTAAGGGTTTCTGTTTTTAAAAACTGTACCACAAAGGTGATTGGACTAAATCAACCTCTCTCATCTGTTTCAGAAGCCCACCAGTTTAAAAAAGATAGCTAGATAAATAAATAAATAAATAAATAAATAAATAAAAAGAACAGGCAAGTGATGTGATTAGGTGATTCTAGTCATGTAACTTTTTGTACAAAATGCCTCTGGGCAATTGAAAACTGAACGCAAAGGGAGGGAGGAGGCCTGGATTCTGGTGTTGGTCCCATACCAGTGAACAGTAGGAGCTCGGCCGACCCTTGCCCACTGGAATCTAAGCTTCCTGAGCTGTAAGGTGAACGTTTGAATAGATGACCTCTAAATTTCTTTTCGGATTTCAAGATCCTGTGACTATAAGTGACCAAATCCAGTCCCTTAATTACTCCTCCTAATTTCCATCCTTTATTTCTTCAACAGACATAGGTTGGGCACCTGGGGAGAGGGTCGGGTCCCATTAGCCTATTTCAGCATAACGTTTGGCGGGGGGCGGGGCGGGGAAGAAGGTGGGAACGAACTATGCAGGAGCACTTGATGATTTTTAAAAGCTAGTGATTTCGCACTCCTGTGGAGATCGTGTGTTTCTACATTTGGCAGGCCTGAAGACTTTCCTCCCTGGTTAAGCGGGCTGTGCCCGCGGGTTGCCCCGCTCTCGGCAAGGAAGCAGGCAGGATGAACTAATGAGGGCCCCTTCAGAACGGAAGGGTTTAACCAGTGTGCTGGCAGGCCCCATCTTACTCACGGTAAAAAAAAAAAAAAAAAGAAGAAGTTATAAGAGATTCAGAATGCTGAGTTGTGAAAACGGCAGGCTAACGAAAGAGCCGCGGGACCTGAAGAGTGCCTTATTGTACAACTTTGCCGAGAACCCACACCTCCGCCCCTGGAGTCCACGATATAGGTATCATTGTTTTTCTTTGAGGACAAGAAGCAACTGAAAAATTAATTTCAGTCCACTTAAGGTTTTGAAGGCTGCTCTGCTTTTAGTACACCACGCACAAGAAGTAAACATTATTACCTGAGGCAGAAGGGAGATTTTTAAAATTACACGAAAAACAGAATCCGGAAGAAAGCCGGTTTCTACTACACGGAGAAATCTGCACTTGAAAGCCACGGCAAGGGATCAAAGCCGCTTCTTCTCCAGCCACCTGCCCAGAAATTGCAGGCGCGCTAGCCCCAAACCGACGGGCACGCGGGCACGTGTCTCTCCCTGACCCAGCAGGTGCTCCGAGGGACCCGGGTTGGGGTGACCGGCTCCTGGAGCGTTGCTGGGAGCTGGGGCAGCGAAACCAGTGTCCTCCGCCAGCTCCACCAAGGCCAGCCCTAGAGCCTCGCCGCCCAGCCACGAAGGATGCTTGGGGTCACTTGAGCCACCGCGCTCTCCGCACAGGTGAGCCGGGAAGCGGGAAGAGGGTAAAATAAGACAGATCACTGGCCCACGCGATGGGGATCCCGGGGCCCGCAGTCGCCCTCGGGAGACTGCGTCCGGGGTAACCTGTGGGCCGGACTCTAGCGCTTCGCAGCCCTCCCAGAAAAGTGCAGAGCCCTCTCCCCCTTCCACCCTACCCCAGGCCTTTAGCCTGGCCCCGCTGCGTCCTCACCTCGCGTTGGCCGCAGCAGCCCCGGCGGTGGCGCGTGGACATGCCTCCAGCAGTACACGCCGTGCTGTGTCCTCAGGCAGTGGCCCCTTCCCGAGCCCCAGGCGCAGCGACCCGTGCTTCCGAGGGGCGGGGAGCCCAAGGGGCGGAGGCGCGGGCGGGTGCTGGGGCCCGAGCCCCACGGGCAGTGATGGGGGAAAACAGCACAGAGGGGGAAAATCTCGAGGTTCAGCCCCCCAGCTCTGCCGTGGACTCTGCGAAGCGGGCGAATGGGATTTATGCCTGGGATCCGCTCTAAGTGCTGCGGCTGGGCGAGGGGTAAGGGGCCGGGAGCGAGTTTGAGGGGGAGGGACGCCTCGCGGTTATGCAACGCCGGAGCCCGCGGTGGCCCGCGCCAGCTTGTTCCAGCACTGTCCGACCCTTCCTAAGGAACAACCATCCGTGCCCCTGACCTAGGCAAGCGGACGTGGTCATTTCCCTGCAGAGTCAAAGAACAAGGTCTCCAGAAAAAAAATGTAAGGACTTACTTGGAAGTCTCCCAGCCAGCCCTTTCCCTTTTACAGCACAGGAAATTGAGGCCCCAGGGTGTTAAAAGCATTGTCTCTTGGAGTAGATGGACCTGGATTCAACAGTCCTGAAAAGCTTGCGCCTCCGCTGGTGTGGCTCAGTTGGTTGGGCCCGGTCCGCAAACCAAACGTTGCGGTTGGATTCCCATTCAGGGCACCTGCCTGGGTTGCAGGTCCCCCAGCGAGCAAGGAAGGAAGCCGGTCGCTGTTTCTCTCTTGCATGCATGTTTCTCCCTTTCTTTCTCCTTCCTCCCCTTTCCCTCTCTCTAAAATTGAGAGAGAGAGAGAATGCCCGAGACCTTGGACAAGGTCTTTAAGTCTCTGAGCTTCCGTTTCTTCCCCTGTAAAACGAAAATAATACTAGCATCCACTTCATGTGTTTGCTGAAAGGACAAAATGAATGAGGTACAGGCACCGGGTACTTAACGCTCGCCCAGTACAATTCACTGCTGCTGAGTGTGCTGAGGCTGGTCCAGCTGACCAAAGTGGCCTTAAATTGGCCTTCCCACTGGCTTGAAGAAGGAAGGAGCTGCCCGAGTCTGCCGATCCGTACCCTGTGGAAACCAGGTTCCGGACTCACTTCCCTGTAAATGTCCACATCCTTGCTACTCAACCGCATTATCTGGGAGCTTGCTGGAAATGCAAATTCTCAGGCCCAGTCTTAGAACCTCTAAATCATAATTTGCATTTTAACAAGAATCCCTAGGTGATTTAGTTGGTTTTCCATCACAGTGTCAAAATGAGTTCAACTTTCTGGAAAATTTGACCAGGGGCCTAAAGTTACTGTGTAGTGGCCACAAAATACCTTAGGGTATTTTTTAAAATAGGTCAGTACAGTCCTTCCTCATTTTGCCCTCTGGGTATTTTGTATTTTTCCCTCTGCTCAATTTCCTACTCTTTACAAATCTGGATTTAAGTCCTATTTTGCACTTGCATTAAAAAAAAAAACCTCTGAGTTACGTACAAGTAACAATTAGTGAATCTGTGCCTAAAACAGGTAAAAGAATGAGCACATGCAGCTTGTAAAAGAATTCATTAGCATTGAAAATGGAATTATTAATGCAGAAACAGGGTTGAGCCCTGATTTCTCATCTGTGAAGGTCTTTAGGTTAAAGGCTTGAATACTTTTGTGATTCAGGAAATTACTTCTCTTAGTTTAACATTGTTTTGGGCGGCAAAAAAATAGCTGCATTTTCCACTTAACTAATATAGGACAACCAGTTTGTTAAAAACATTTTGGAGAATAGGAAGAAATGTCACAGGCTTTCTTCCAAGTCACCACCTGTAGGGGCTCTATCAACGCTCGAAGGAAATATTTTATCTCATTACATGCTGTGTTTGGGTTTTGTGTGTTTGGTTTTTACTCCTAGAGGGTTTAGGTTTAGTTTACCTGATTCCGTCTCTGGCAGACTGATTCTCACATTTTGAGAATTGAATAATTGTGGATTGTTGATGAGGAGGAGGAAGTTAACACTCCTAGCCTGTGCCTGATACAGAAGGGTCACTTACACCTATTCACCCTTTGGGGTTTCTCCTCAAGGCTGTTGGACAAGCTGATACACCACGGGGATGGGCATTTGGGGGGTGGTAGAAGGGAAGATGGATAGAGAAAAGGAATCTCCCTTCTCTGAAGTCAGAAGGTTGAGGAAGCTGGAAAGAAGAGGAGAAAGCCCTTCTGTTTGCCCTAAAATCCAAAGGGGGGGTGGGGGGGAGAGGAATGCACAATTTCCCCTGAACAGTGCTATCCAATACATTTGCTACAATGGTGGAAACGTTTTATCTTTTCAATGCTCTTTGTAATTATCCTTAGAAAAACTATTTGTCACATTCAAAAGGACTATGAAATTGGCCATTTACATTTAAATTTTAATGAAAATTCAGTTTTTGTTCATGTTTTCCAGTGCCAGTCTATTGAATTAACCGCATTTCCAGGGCTCCATGCCAACACGTGGCCAGCACCTACTGTATTAGATAGCACATGAAACATTCTCTTCATCATGGAGAGTGCTATCAGACAGCCGTGCTTAGAGGCAAGGATTTGGGTGAGAAGGTGAGCCCAGATATTCCAGTTTTTCCAAATCCTAGTCAGTCTCACCTGCCCTAAGTCAGGTAGAGGAATTGGTACTTCAACCTCCATCATTCAAGTCCTTATGAGAGTCAAACTGGGGTAACTATAGAATGTGCTGAACACAATGCTGCGTACACAGTAAATGCACAAAAAAACTCAACGAGTATTAGTATCAATAGTCATTTTACATTACAAAAAACAGGGAGACATGGCACTACCATGCATCATTATTAGTCAAATAGCTTTTGCTGATGTGGCCAGCTGCTCTGCTGCCTCCACACCCATTGACAGCTGTGCTCTGACCGCCTCCCCTCAGCTCTTTTGCCCATTCAGAGCTGGGCACTACCTGGACCGGCCTGGAGGGAGAGCATACCCGGTCAAATCCCTACCATTTCTATCCAGTAAATAACAAGCAGGTTCATTGAAACCATGTCACACCATGGTACAGAGGAATCAATTTTCAGATGCAGTTCTCAGAAGCATGACACCTCAAGGTACATTTGTTATGAAGGGATTGTTTGTTTCTGTTATTTGATCAAACAAGGATGTGTAGACTCAGCAGCGAGAAACAAGAACTTCAGCTTCAAAGAAGTGACATTTGGGGGGTCCACGTCCAACTGGGAGCCGCCAGAAGGTTGAGCGTTGGGGACAGAAACAAGGCTTTTTCCTAAGTAGAACCTAAACAAAACCTAGAGTTTAATAAAGATTCTGAGGATAACTACTATACAAACAGCATGAAAAAAATGCGTTTTATGCTGTCAGTTATACAAATTAGGGTGCCATGTAGAATGGAAAACAGTAACATTCTTCCCTGCCCACCAAGAAACACAGATTTCTGGACAATCTCAAACTCCCATTCTTCTGAATTTTTACATAAGACCACATCCTGTGTGCACCTTCCAGATCCCACTTTCGTTAATGTCTTTCTTGGTCCCCCCCCCCCCACCTTTTTTAATCACCTCACTTCCTTTTTACAAACATTTTTGCAGAATGCAGCCACTATTTCTTCGCTCCCCTTTGTTATCCCGTATCTTGATCCCCCCCTTGTCGTGGCTGTGTGTAGCTGACACTTGCCTGTCAAAGGCAATGCATTTCCAGTTCCCACCTCTCTCTGAACTCCAGTTCTTGTCACCAGGCCCCCAGTGGATATTGTCACTGAAACTCTCCTCCGATCATCACTTTAAATGCTAACCTTTCAGGAACTAAAGTTACAATTGGAATCTGCTCTTAGCTCCCCCCAAACTTCCTAGTTTCCCTTCTCTGACCTCACTGCCTTGGTCTCTGGTGCTAAAACTCTCTTGTTCAATGTCACTTGAATCCATGGAATTATTGAATCCATTTTCCTTCGTCATGGTGGAGTCCTGGTATAACTGAAAGGCATTGAGTTTGGAATTAGAAGACCTCAGTAAAGATCCCACTTTTGCCACTTCTTAGCAGTATGAGCTAATGAAATTTCTTAATCCTCTTAAGCCTTGAGCTTCTCATCTACAAAGTAAGATCAATGGTAGTCTTCCCAGCTTCTGTGCTAATTAGCTTAGACCCTCACCCTCCACACTAATGACATCCAGAACCTGATAATTCTTTGTGGTGAGCTGTCCTGTGCATTGTGGAGTGTTTAGCAGCATCCCTAGTCTTTATCCATTAGATGCCAGTAATACCCTCCTAGTTGTGACAGTCACAATTGTCTTCAGTCGTTACCCAATGTCTCCACCTCTTGCTAGCTGGGTAACCTTGGGCAAGTCACATAACTCAAAACTTAAGTTTCTTAACTTGTGAAATGAGCTTAATAACAGCACCTTCCTTGTAGGACCATTGTGAAGGTTAACTAAGACATATACTTCTGAAGTGCCTAGCACAGTAGCTAACTTGCAGTGAGTACTTACTAAATGTTAGCGGAGTTAGTCACAATAGCCAATATATGGAAATGACCTAAGTATCCATGGACATGTGAATGGATAAAGAGATGTAATATATTTATATATATGTACATGTGTGTCATTATTATAGGGATTTATCATGGAATATTAGTCAATCATAAAAAAAGAAGAAAATCCTGCCATTTGCAACAACATGGAGGAACCTGAAAACATTACGCTAAGAGAAGCCAGACAGAGAAAAACAAATACTGTATGATCTCACCTATTTGTGGAATCTAAAAAATTCAAGCTCACGGAAACAGCAAGGAGAATGGTGGTAGCCAGGAGCTGCCTGAGGGGGGAAATGGGGAGTTGTTGGTCAAAGACAATAAACTGTTAACTGTAAGGCGAGTAAGTTCTGGGGGTCTGACATACAGTGTGCTATCGTTATACTGCATTGTGTGCTGACGTTTGCTAAGTGAGTAGATCCTAACAGTTCTCATGACACACACACACGACTGTGAGGTGATGATGTTTACGTTAGATTGTACCAATCATTTTACAATATACAGTTAATTCAAATCATCACATTGTACACCTTAAGTATCTACAAGTTTTATTTGTCAGTTATACCTCAATAACACTGAGGGATGGATAACAATAAATAAATGTTAGCTGAAAATAAATCAAATACGAACAGCCTTCTCTTGACAACGTATTTGATGGCAGGAACCTTCTGTCTCATAGACTATTCCCTCAGTGCTGACAGAGTAGAAACTTCAATGAAGTTCTGTGGAATGGGTGAATGTTAGTTCTGCATCACTTTCGTTGGTCACCACTGTTGTTCTTCCTCTTCAGATTCATTCAATTCGTATTTATGAAGCTTTTACTCTGAACAAAGTCAGCACTCCTGGTCAGGACCATGATAACCCCACACCTAGTGCAATACCTGATCCCCAAAATCAGCAGTCTCCCCAGATCAGAGCAGCTGTGCAGCTTAAGAGCTCTCTGATCAAGCCAACGGTTTCTCAGAAAACCTCTGTGACAGAGGTGCATGTTCACTGGAGAATGGGAAAGAGAGAAGAGCTACCAGTCATGTCACCCACCCAGGCGTGGAGTGTGAGAAAAGAAAGGGAGAGATGCCCACTGTGTGATCCACAGCGGTGGTGTTCTGCCCCCTCTCGATCCCTTTGGGTCAGCGCACGGCGGTGCTGATTTTAGTAACACTGGGCTTCATTTCCCAGTTAACTCATTCAAAATTTTTCAAATTATTTTTCAAAGATTTATGTATTTTTTCTGAAGTATGTGTTTGCTTTTAGCGCTTTGTTTCTTGAAATTAAATTGAAATAAAATTATTTAATATCCCTAATGTTAAGAGCTGGTGTATACTTTTTTCCCCTCTCTGAACAGCTGGAGGGAGAGTTGTAAAGAGTTTATTGATATTCATTGAGTTCCTGTGATGTCCCAGGCCCTATTGTCTATTCAATTCTCACAGTACTTATTTTCAAATAGAGGAAAAGTGGTTCAGAGAGGTTGAATGAATTGCCCAATATCGCTCAACTATAAAACAGTGCTAGCATCTGTCTCACTCTGGGTAGACTGGTTACAAAAGCAGCTATGATTCTGTTCACCTCTGTTTCCATATCCTTTGCTATGTGAACTTGTAGGTTCTTCCATCAAGAAATGGGACCTGTTCCCCCACTTCTTAAATCAGGGCTAGTGTAACAATCATTTTGTCCAGTGGAGAGAAAAATAATTGTGGGCCAATTCTGAGGGTAGACCTTAAGGGGCTCTCTGTCTCAGAACCCTACCTTACCCCAGGAACAAGCCTGGTATGGCTGGCTGGAAGATGACAGAGCACGCGGGTAGAGCTCAGGCAGCTCGGTCCCCCCCGCTGAGGTCCCAGGTACAGTGAGAGCCAAGCCAAGATTGCCCACAAAGACCAGCTCATATCAGAACTGACCAGACAATTTACACACTCACATGCAAAAATAAAGGTTTGCTGTTGTAGCCATTGCGGTGTTGCAGTTATTTGTCACACGTCATTATTTAAGCAAGAAGTAATTAATATAAGTTCACAATGCTTGCAGGTCTTTCCTTATGGTGGTATAAAGAGAAAAGTTATTGCAAACTCATCTATGAAAAGTCTTTTTTTCCAGTTTTTATCATAATATTACATTCTTTTAAATTACTCAAGAGAAAAAAAAACATGGTATGAGCAAGATATTAGAAAGGAAATTATTTGTGTTTAATGAACCAATGTAATGAGCAAGTAAATTGCAAACTGAACTATAATGCAAGTCTCTCCTTTGTTTCTGTCATCAGATGAATTCAATGCAAACCAACCAACCAGTAGTTCTGAATGTCTCGTCTGCACAGGCACGATGCTACCATGCAATGGTGTTTTGAGACAAGGTTCCTGTCTTCAAGGAATTTATAATCTAATTGAAATAGAAGTAGCCATGCAAGTAATGGAAGTTGAATAACAATAAAATATTTTAATACCACCTTCACCACAACCTATATTTATTTTTTAATTTAATTTGTATTGTACTTTTTCCCATTACCACTTAGTCCCCTTACACTCCCTGCCACCCAGCAATCACAACACTATTGTCCATGTCCATGAGTCCTTTTTCCTTTTTGCTCAGTCTCTCCGCCCCTCACCCTACCCCATACCACTAGCTGTCATCCTGCTCTCCATCTATGAGTCTGTCCCCATTTTCTTTGTTAGTTCAGTTTGTTCATTAGAGTCTACCACAACCTATGTTTCAAAAAGAAACTATGTATGAACATTTTTATGAAGGAAATTAACATTTGCTAGGAGAATACAGAGGAAAAATAAGATGCTTGGGAGAGAAGCTGCCTAGGTGAAGGCTAACTCTATAAGTGAGGCTGGAACTCCTTAAAGCACTTCAATAAGCAAATAAGAAGGCTCTGTTGGTAGGTAAACCCGCAGGCTGGCAGTGGGAAAGTGCAAGGTGTATTTGGCAGTGAGTAAATAAGTCATGTTGATGAGAACAGAGAAAATCAATAGGACAAAGTAGCTGATTGGATAGGGAGTAGAGGGGACTGAGAAGCATGTGTGTCTCCAGCCAGGAGGATGGTGATCATTAACAGACAAAATGTTAGGAGGCAGCAGCTGGTGAACTCTTCACCATCAGACACATGGAGCTTGAGGTGGGAGTGAAACACCCAGCAGGCTTTTAGAAATTCAGGTCAGAGGCCAAGGGGAAAGATAAAAGTTAGAAATATGGCTTGAAAATCTTCAGTGCAAGAGAGCTGAGGTGAAACCAGAGCAGAAGGGTGGACTGGACCTTGGGGAATGCCCACAATGTCCAGGGGGCGAGAGAAAGATGCACAGCTGACTGCTAAGCAGGATGTCACAAGTGCCACATGAGTCACATAAGTGTGATAGCCATTCAGAGGAGGCAGAGAGGTGTACACCAACAGGGCAGAAATATTCTCTTTCGAGAGAAAATTGATGATAATGAGGAGGACAGGGTCACAGCTGGACCAGACGGCTTCTGTAAGTCATTCGAAGGGATGCATGGTTCTGGCTGGACAGCCTACTTGTTAACAACAGAAACATAGTGCAGACTCGTAACCTTATTTGCAAAGAGAAAAATCAGCCAGCTTTGTTTGGGGCTAATTTCGTCTTCTTGACTCTCTGCATTGACCTTAATGGCTTTATTAGCAAACTTCTGCTTCATTTTTATTAATTTTGATAAATTCAGAAGGTGAAAATTGAAGAAAATATTTGATGAGTTGAAAGCCAGCTCAAATAAATAAAGCATCAAGGTACATGAAGGATGGCCTGGTCCCCTTGCTTGTACTGTCTATGTGGTAAGTACATCTTAAGTGGTGTGCATATTGCACATACAGGGTACTATTGTCTTTGCATCTCTCAGCAGAAACACATAGTTACACACTCACATTAACTAGTTCTCATGGTTACAGATGATGTCATGATAACATCCGTAAGAAAGTACAAGTCATCCCAACCACTGGAAGAACCACTCAAAGAGTTTCTAGCAATATAAATAGTAGCCATTGGTTATATTTGATTTCAATAGAGTGAAGAATAGAAAGATACAGTTTTATAAAAACATATCTTGCTTTTTATTTTTTTAAAAGTTTGCAAAAGAAGCCTTAAGCCCTTAGCCACCAGATATATCTGTATTAACCATTCCAGTCTATACCTGCTCCAAGTGCTGTGCTCCAGTAACACTGCATAGCAACTGGTATTTTAACAAGCTTTTCAAGTGGTTCAGGACCTAAAATTTGAGAACCATGACCTAGGTATTCTAGGGAGAAGCAAGGGCATTGGAAAGGGTGAAGGCGCCCCGCTGAACACAGCCCAGTCTTCCCTTTTTATTTTTGCTCTTTTTAAGTAGAGAAGCTTGCTTTACGGTTTTATGATATTGGGCTTTCATCCTTCCATTCATTAAATTGGAAATCTGGGAGGCATCCCTGACCTCCCTCATCAGTCCACCAGCAAGTCCTGTCAATCATCTTATCAAAATGTATCTCAACATCTGCCTCCTTTCCTTCCAGCTGCACTGTCAACACCCTGCACCAGCCTGCCACCTTCTCTCGCCACTCCTGCAGTATCCTTTCAAGCCACCTCCTTCCTTCTGCTCTTAGCCGCCCTCAGTCCATTCTCACTGGAACACCAAGAATGTTTTTTTCAAAACTTAAATTAGGTCACATTGCCTCACAACTTAAAACCTTTCTATGGTTCCCAAAACATTAAAACAAAACCTGGGCTCCTCTGACTGTGGATCATAGTGTGTCATGCCCCTGCCTTTCTCTATATCATCTGACATCTCATTCTCCAAGTCTCAGTATAATTCTAGCCACCCCAGTTTTTTTTCTCCACATCAAGCCAAGGAGGCAGAAGACTTTGCATTGATCTTCTTTGCAAAGATGTCACTCCCCAGAGGTGTTCAAGACCATTGTCTTTAAACTCAATTTCCACCCTGGCTGATGTAGCTCAGTTGGTTGAGCGGCATCCCACAAAACCTAAAGGTTGCTGGTTCAGTTCCTGGTTAGGGCACATGCCTGCCTGACTGGTTCCGTACCCAGTCAGAGTGTGTACTGAAGACAACCAGTCAATGTTTCTCTCTCACATTGATGTTTGTCTCCCTCCCATCCCTCTCTCTACAAATAAATAAAAATATCTTTTCTTTGAAAACAATTTCCCTCTCTCTGTTTTTCTCTGTCTTATTACATATTTGTTTCCTTCATAACATTTAGTGCAACATGAATTTTTTGTTTGCTTTTATTTGGTTTGGCTCTAAACTAAAAGCTCAGTGAGCATAGAAACTGTGTCCATTGTGGTACCTAGCATGGGGCCTGGCATATATTTGGGACTCCATTACTGGACGAATGGATGAAATGATCCGCAGTTATCAAGGTATGGAAGTCCCTGATAGAGACGTTAGAAACTTCCATTTTGGGTGGGGTGAGAGTGAGTGTGTTCTGAAATTAAATTCCATTCCCGAGTTGTTTTCATGACTGGTGACCTAAAATTCCCAAGCCTATTTTCTTCCAGCCCACTGAGGCTAGATCACACGGCCATTGGGAACATTCTATGAAGCTAACAGGTTGTTTTGCCCATTTGGAAGAGAAATTTATTAATGTTCACCCATAGGTACAAAGATATCACAGTAAGAAATAAGAGTTTGAGCTCTTTGTGGGAGAATGTGAGTTCATTATACAGCATGCACTATTAATTCTTATTATGGTTGTATTAAAATCATATTAATTTCATATAATCTCATTTGTACAATATAGGCTTTAGGCCAAGAGCATTATGGCAATCTCATCTGGACAAGGCTGCCGCAGTGTGACTGAATCAGACTTGGCCGCTTGCCAACTACGGCACAACACTGAATTTCCCATCACTAATGGACATGGAGAGGAGGGAGCACTGTCATCCTCTGAGGGGTGGGAGTGGGTGCAGGTGATGAGAACTGGCTCTCAGGTCCTTCCAATGGCTTCTGATTCTTCAATTCCAGCTAAGCCGATTCAACACAACTAAACAACCACATATTCAGGGCCTCCTGAGTGCCAGGAACTGAGCTGAGAATGTGACAGCGAAGAATGTAGACACTCACTCTGCACCAACAGAGTCTGGAGACAGTAAATGGGAGGTGAAAAGAACAGCTAAGTCAGAAAATGGTGACATCAGCCCTTGGTTCTCCTCTCAGAATGTCACCTTGACACAAGAGTTAGCCCATGCAGTCAACAATCAAAGAAACGGCACTTCCTTAAATGTCGCCAAAATATTTTTGTCTTTGGTACCATGAAATGACTGTTGGCTGTATTTGAAATGACCCCAGAATTAGAAGGCCCAACTGTTTGACTCGAATGTTCCTCCAACCCCTCATTCCTCTGAGCTCCTTCACCATACCCGCATGTTTATTGTGTTTTCCTGTGTGATAGTGAGTCACTGTCCCTTAACCTAATAGTAAAATCCATATGTACCTCTTTTATTAGATTTATAGAGTAATAGAATGTCTGACTTTCCCAGAATCTCTTGAGGTGTTACCTTGCAGCTGTTTTCCAAAACACTGTTGTGTCTGTAGCTACATTTCACAGCACCATCATGGGGCCTGCTTGCAACTGATGGCAGCCAGAGTAGTGCATCTTTGTTTTCTCACTAGTTCCTCTGCGGTCATCATCACTCTTTATGTTAGGGACCACACTCATTGTCAGTATAAATCACTCTGTCTCAGCACCAACATGGCTGAGTAGCATGACTCATTTCCAGGCTAATTGTAAAGCGGACAACAGTTGCCTCACTAGTTGTCAGACATTTTCTCCACATTTTTTTAGATATTTTATGACTAAATTGAGAGAAAATGAATTACGTGGTAATGTGGGCAAGTCATTAACTTCTCTGAGTCTGTTATTTAGTCCATAAAATTAGAGGATTAAATTAGGTTATAGGTTAAGCTACTGAGCAATGAGGGAAATTTAGCTCTCAGATGAGCTTGGATTTGTTCTCACAGCATATTAAAACTTCTCAGTCATCAGTAAGATTCTAAAATTGGGGGGAGGGTTCCATAAAACTCCAGATTTCTGGTTCTCTTGAAAAATAAAAATATGAATTCCCTTGAAAAGTCTGGCTTCAGAGAGTGCCAGCCATTTTTCTCACATTCACAAATGATGAGGAAGGGAGGTGACTAAACTAACCCATCTCTTCTGATAGCACCTAAAGATAGTTATGCCCTATGCCCTTTTCCTGGTGAAATCCAAAAAGAGACTTGGAAGAACCATATTTGGAAAAGGAAGGTCTCTGAATGGCTTAGAAAATTCTTTGAAAAAAAGAAGAAAACAGCAACCTCAGCTCTACCATAGTCATGGTGCATGTTGTGATCTTGACTTGTTCCATATTTATCATTGTTTGGGTTGAACAGGTTTGTTTCTTAAAAATAATTGAGAGGGGTGTGGTAGAGGAAATTTAGTTTATCTTAATCCTTCACACCTCACAGTTCTC